ATAGTGCATTGGTTTCAGAGGCTGACAAAGCTTTTGCGCGCAACATTTGCTTACAAATGTCCATTGTGACAGTGACAAAGGTGCAGCACTTTGGTGCAACCGATTCGTGAAAAACTACCGGTTGCAACCTCTTGTGGGACACCTATACAGCCTTCACCCCTCTTACCGAAAGAAACAGTGCTACTTGAAGAACTAAGTTGTGTCAAGGACAACTGTGAGGTGATGAGTGCAGGAAACGGTAGGCCAGAAGCATTGGCAACTAAACCTGACATTTTGTTTGCGAGGGAAAACGGAACAGACGCCTTCATTTAGCCCAATGTCCCCACGCCATCAGACTCGCTCCTAGGCAAGACAAAGCAGTGTGAAAGGAAGGTTCGAATGAATACTGTAAAAGTGTGGCGGTGAGATTCGTTGCAGCTAGCATACAACGGCTTCCTGCAAAACGCAGATCACCCTGAGATAAGCCACCACCCCCTGCACGTCACTGGAGGAATAACAGTCGGGGTACATACTTCTGCTGACCATGCATCGCAAGCTATTGAGACATAATGACGAGGCCAGACAAACCATGGACCACCAGAGGGGGAAAAGGTGGATCACTCAAAATGAGCTGCGCAAGGCTGCAACCGTGTTAGTCCTTGCTGTGCGCAAACTGGCCGGAGGATCAAAAAACTGCGATCGCTGCCTTCATGACGTCGAGCGTTTGGGACGGCTAGTGGCAGAAGTGGGACTAGAGGGCTTATCTGACGGTACACTGGACAGACTCACAAGACTTGTTCACCTGCAGAGCACTTCTGCACCCAGGGTGTAGGACATACTCTTCCTCTCTTAAGCATGACTCAAAGAAGCCCTTTCTGCATCTAATCGCGCAAAAGATCGAATGGAAGGCACTGTGAAAGAAAACCAGCATCCGCTGGGCGAGAAGAGAGAACACCGCTATCACAAGAAAGCTATCTGATGGACTAACCCCCGCAGACATCGCGGAAAGCACTTCCTTTTCACCGGATGTCAGGAAGAAAAGAGAAACAGGTGCTCACCAGTCCAGTAGGGCTAGGTAACCAACGTCCTACGCAACAACACAAAAATGTCAGAACTAGTCGCCATACCACACTAAGCCTAGAAGGGAACTTCTTGGCACGTAGTGATATGAAACGTCTTGGAAGTAAACCACTAGGGCTAAAAACGAGTTTCTGCCACCTGCACGCAGATATTATTTTTATCACGTGATCATTGCTGTCATCGTATATCGCGGACCAGGAGGCGTTTCTGCCGTACGCGGCCCTGTCGCTGAAGGACAGGCGGTTTGAAGATGGAGGAGGGGTGGCCATGCATATATGCATGGGCCTAAAAGCCATGGGTGTGATCAATAAAGCACTCCAAACAGTGCCGGTCTCCTTGGAATGTTAGTACGCCATGAACAGCATAAGGCGCCCCTAGGAGTTGCATCCAAGCTTCCGGTTTGCACAACTAAGCATAAGAAATAGGTGTTGACATGCAGCCCACAAGCTTTCGACTGCGTAGTCCTAGCTTGAGACTTCAACACTAGCATTTAACCCGGAACAGAAGGAAGTTGTAAGCATACTAATTTCATAACTTGAGAATAAAGATATTTACATAATGTTTCGAAATGTGGACCAAAATCTAATATGGAAAACCAACTACCTATAAACACCACGTCAGTCGTATCCAGGACTATGGAAAAGGTGATTGTGAAAGAAATTGTCGACTGCATGACGACAAACCAATCACCCTTACCAGCACGACATGGATTCTTGAGAGGCCGGTCATGCGCTACCAGCTATCTTGACTATCTAGAAGGCGTTACAAGCAAGCGTGACCAGGGCCTATTTGTAATTACCCTTTTCTAAGACTTCAAGCAAGCGTTCGACAAGGTGCCTCACAAACGCCTGGTCATCAAGTTGCAATCATATGGTTTCCAAGAACCGTTGCCGTCCTGGCTTAGAACATCTTTAAAGGGTCGCTTCCAAGTAGTAAAATTCAGTGGCTGCTACTCCTCCCCTAGACATACAAAGTGGTGTCATCCAGGGTAGTGTGCTGGGACCGAAACGTTCCTTATCTATGTGAACGATATCTGCAGTGTTATCCGAAATGGCATACCCCACCTTTTCGCAGACGATTTGAGAATAGTCTACAGCTTTTCTTCTGCAGCACTAGCACAAGGTTTCTCTCAAATACAAGAAGATCTGAAGAGAATACTCATGTGGACAGTGACCTGGCAGCTTCTTCCAAAACCCAAATAAAAGTGGAATCTTCCATTTCAATAAATCCCGCCCATAAATAACACCGCACTTCGTTGACATGGCACTGCAGGCATACAACACTGTGAAAGACCTAGAAATCACTTACTCCAGAAGTTTGACGTATACGGAGTATGCAGATTCAATGGTTTCCAGAGGCAGAAGACTCATTGATCTTCTACACGGAAACGTACTCACACCAGCGGCAAAACTTTTACTGTACAAGGCTATGGTTCGCCCAATATTAGGGTACTGCACGGTTATCTGTGGTAATATAAAACTATCAGACGTAATTCGAGTAGAGAACATTTAACGAAACTTTACTCGGAGACTACTGACACAAACGAGGGACTTTCTTACGAAGCAAGATGCAAAAAACTAGGACCAGAATCACTCTGGCTGAGACGCCTGAAGCTCAACCTAACATTTCTTTTTCACCTTTTATTCGGAAACTCTAAAACAAAATGTGCTGTCACTTTTAAATCACCACAGGCATATAACCTGCGAAATGGCGAGTACACCATCCTCATAAATAAGTATTGCTCAAAACCTCTATGTAGGTTTTTCATAACGCAATACAGTATGCTGCAGAACAAACTTCCCACTCCTATACGAGCATGTCGATCTCTCGGCCAGTTTCAACGATTACTTAGTGAATTCCTCCTATCCAAAGATTCTCATCAATTCGTTGACGGCATAACCACGAACGGTAATATCATGTACAATGGTGCTACTGGCACCTAGACTCAAGAGAGACTAACAGCAATGACAAAAGTATGCAATACCGGAAACTAAACGCATAACTTAGGTTAAAAACGAGTTTCTAAAAAAGACCAAGAGTGAACAGGAGGCGGAATGTGATACGATATGCAACAGTGACTTCAGTAGCTACTCCAATGTAACTTACGTTTCTTCATAACCTAAATGACCTCACGACTAAACACCTACTTTCTAAAATTCGTCCCTTAAAATAATTTCTGTACTCCTGATTGATAAAAGAACTGTCTGTCGGTTTATTTCCATAGCATGTAACATGTTTCATTGTTTGTCCTTTGTTAGCAGTACCTACGCGTTAGTACTTTGCACCACCATGTTGTTTCGGTAGCCCCGATATGGTAATACTCAACAAGTAACACCATGATCATCCCCCCATGACTAGATAAAGGGTGGTCACCATCGTAGAGGAAACCATGAATTTCGCTTAGTGTTTTTAACTTCATCAAACGTTTGTGCGTAGGTATATGACAAGTGAACACCTGGTCCAAAATCCTATAATCTCTCTATTTTGTAGTAATGTCTTCGGCTTCAGACTAACTTTCACTACCATCGTGCGCACCTTCATCTTCCAACTAAGCTTACCTCTAAACAGTTGGTTTTGGATACCTCTTCAAGTAAGTTTGTAGTCACTACAAAGAACTCACCCAGGTGCATCATGGTTGATCTACTCCTGCGTATTTTTATGCTCCTGTTTCGAATTTCACCTGCTGCTAGCTCTTGTTATTCGCTTTTCGGGTTTACCTAACCAGTCCTGCATTCAAATGGAATCCTAGAAATCGCATTTGTCGGTGTGCACCTTGCCATCAAAACCTTATGACGAACGCGCACACCTCTAGGTCATGACTGTGATGCGGCCCAACCTTCAAGAATATTGGAAGATCTAAACAATAACCGAATAATTCCTAATTTTGAACCGAGACCGCTTCAACACACCTCTTATATGCCATGAATAACGGCATCTAATGTATAGCCTAACATTGTATACAATAGTCATTTTGCATCACCAAAATGGTCAAACCTGTAAGCTAGTTGGAGTTCATGTAACCTATGTTGTATGAAATATTCGCGTATTATTATTATTATTATTATAATTGTTTCTTGATAAACTAATGTTCTTGCGTTTCTACAGGTTGATCGAATTCTGTTTACTTTAGTTGAGATTCTCTGCTGTAAACCTTGATATGAGTGGTTCAGTGATACCCACTTTTACAAGTTTGGTGAGCACGGTGCAGTGTGGGACGTTATCAAAAGCTTTGGCCAAGTTGAATAAGGTAACGTGAACTGGTTGTTTGTTGTCCCATCTAGTGGTCCAGTCATCCAAGCGGTCACTAAGTTTGTGACACATGACCACCCGGTTCTAAGCCATGCTGGGTTGGATGGACGATGTTACTTCTGTTCAGGTGGTCCTGAACAACATTTGCAACCAGGCTTTCGAATGCTTTGGAAAGTATGGTTAGTAATGCTATTGGTCTTTAGTTGCACGGGTTTTCTCGGCCCCCTGTATTGAAGATTGGTGAAAGGATGAAGCGTTTTCGTCTTTTGTGGGGTTGACTTACTTCCAGTGAGTGGGTGGACAGGCTGAACACAGCTATGGTTAGCACTTGAGCACTTGGACTGCTCAACAGTTCCTCTATCTCACTGCTGTTCAAAGGTTCGCTGGCCGACCCCGCGATCAGATATAAACTCTTATTCGATACAAACTTTTCGGGTTGTAGCTTAACTGTTTGGCCTGTTTAGCCACGTTTCTCTAATGTGTATATTTGTCATTACGAACTCTTATATTACGTAAGTTGCGTAACATCTTGAAGCTGTGAAAGTCTCATTCTCTGACTAGTTGAGAACAAGAACGGACAAAAGATGAGATTTGCTGGATGAGGATTAATATAGGCTCACAGCCTTTAGTTCTAAAACAACAAATCTGACTCTGATTCTGATGACGGATTTCGTCTATTGGAAGATTGAATTACGGAGAATAAACCGCTCAATCCCAAGGTCCGCGAAGTAATCATCAGCTGTTATGGATGAGAAGTATGATGTTATAGTTCTTGGGACGGGTTTAAAAGTACTGCTGTGTCGTTATTGATTACAAACTATTTTCAGGAATGCATACTCAGCAGTTTGATGTCAATGGAAGGGAAGAAAGTACTCCATGTCGACAGGAACAGTTATTATGGCGGTGATACCACATCTATAACACCTATTGATTTGTTATTTGAAAAGTTCAAAATCAAAGGTGACACCAGTAAATTTCAGCGTGGTAAAGACTGGAATGTTGATTTGATTTCCAAGTTTTTGATGGCTAATGGTAATGAGATACTTACTACGCAAATAATTTAATGTAGGGAAACTGGTAAAAATCCTTGTTCACACTGGTGTGACACGATATTTGGAATTTAGAAGTGTGGAAGGCAGTTATGTTTATCAAGCGGGGTGTATTCATAAAGTCCCATGTAACGAAAGTGAAGCTCTCACCACAAGTATGGTGCTGTCATAGTTATTAACGATGCATAGAACTTATGGATCTGTTTAAAAAGCGCCGATTTAGAAAATTCTTGGTTTGGGTAATGAATGTAGATGTGACCAAACCTTCTACCTGGAATAACATTTATTCTTCACCAATGAACATTAACGAAAACAATATTTCGCACGCATTCAGTCATTTCAATATTGATGAGGAAACACAGGTAAATGTGCTTTCTAGAATATACGCTAATTTTGTCGCTGTGTCGGGCTGTTTTTTTATCCATACCTGAACCAAAACGTAAGTGTGCGATTACTATTGATATGGTTCGAAACATAATACCTTGCACCATAATATCTTCAGAAGTTGTTATGGAAGGACAAATGGCATATGGCCGTACTCATAAGTCGCTGTTTTACGGAGATTCAGAATGAAAGTTTCAAAATGGCTACGTATGCTTGAATGAAGAGCATCTAATTGTGTATGGTAAACCTACTCCTCTCGTTTTTAAACTTTTCGACTACTTTTCAGGTGTGAATTCCCAAAAAACTGGAACTTCTTGGTACAAGACTTCTCAGTTTTTTGTCAAAGCCAGACTTTAAGATGTTACTTATACAATACAACTAAAGCATCGCATTCACAGATAATGTTGGTGGCTTAAACACTTCTGATTGTCGAAAATTTCACTGTTCTGACCACCCCATCAAAACTTTGCCACGTAACCCGAAAATCGAACCGTTGGAGGGTAATTAAATGTTGGTTTTCACCCATGGCATCCTAGTCCCATCATGTTATCAATGTCAAGGTTAGGCAGAGGGTACTAGATAAGGAAGGCAAGCCAGTCAACCGGGTAGCGAACGAGGCAAACGGCGTATGCCTAGTCGCCGTCTGCCTCGTCATACAATGTTGGCCGAAGTAGCTTCAGGCTGGAAAAAGGCTTGAGGTGGCCCGGCTAAAAAATGACATCAATGCATGAAGTCTTTGACTGTTGGTTTGAGCTATGCAGACTAGCCAGTTTGGGTCTGCTGGACAAAAACCGGTGGTCGGAAACTCTAGGCGATATGGCTGAGAACCGATGTCACTGGTCGTGCAGGTGTTTACATATTATCCTCATCTTGACGCTGTACCGAATCTCACCACTTTCTCATTTTTCCTCTCTCCCTTCGAGTACTTTATATTTCTCCTGACTAAATTTTCTTTTCCTCACCTTCCACTTAGCTGCCTTTTTACATGATGTGCTGATGAAGTGTGGCAACTCGGACCGTTACGCAGTAATGCTTGATACCAAGTCAATTTGGATGTATGGATGATAGTTGTGCTGCGCATGCGGAGCCACCGCCTATCTTGACGTGCAATGCTGAAGGAAATTGGATTTGGTTGAAAGAAGGTTAACGGTGGCCAGACCAGTTCATGAAGTCTCTGATTGTTGGTCTGAGTCGTGAAGGAAGGTGTAAATTACTTGGGTGGGGTCCTCAAAATAATGGGATTCAGCAGTTAGGGACTCTCGATAAAATGTCTGCGAATCCATCACAGTGGTGCTGGTGTATTCACTCTTTAATTTTTTCGAGAGATTGAATGTTTTAATTAACCTGTTTTTAAATTTTCTATCTTCCCACATACCTTATTCTATTTTGATATCAGTTTTTCTTATCCACTTGTTCTTTGTATACTACTGTGAAATGTGGCAACCTGAACTGGTGGACTTCTGTGAGGTTCTACGTTGATCTTGTCTATCTTGCGTGGTGTTTTGATAATGTGTAATAAAAGGTGAGAACTGTATCAGAAATCTCTTGGTTCCGTAGTATATTTTAAGTTGTGGTGTTGAACCACGCTTTGAAACTCGCTTCTTTCCACCGGGTCCGTAAGGAGTATCCCTCTTACATTTATTTAGTTTTATTATAGATGTGCGGATGGACAGAATTTCAGTTTCCAACCAACTTCGTAAGGATTGACTTATTTCCTGGAGGATATCTGTTTCATTCAAAGTACGCGAATGATGTAATCTTATTAATCAATGACTCTGATAAAATACAGTCTTCTGAATGCACTGGACGGAAATACGTGGAGCTGTGGCTTATTGGTTTCGAGAGTTGACTCTACCGATGGGTCACTGGTTTGAACGCCGCTTCACTTGCCGAGGTTTGGGCATCCACGTAGTACCATTAGCCCTCACACAATAGGTGTGACCCATTGCCTACTACACGAAGATGCACGTGGTTGCTGAATTCATTGAGACTTCGATTCGGGCAAAAATATGATGTATGGCATGCTTTATGTGCCTTTCAAATGTAAGATGAGTTTTCAGAGCTAGTATGCACCAACCACTAACAGATAAGGAGTGAAATGTGGCGATCACTTGTAGAATTACAAGGACCAAAGAAGGTTGCCGATGAAATCTCTACTGAAATACAAAAGCCCCACTTGACATTTGCCAACTCACATATCTAGTACCAAAGAGATATCTATTTACCTATCGAAAGACGAGTTTGTTGTGCAATATCCCATTTTATTCTGGTATGTGGCTATAAAACCGTTGAAAACGGATGTGAAGTTATGTGTTTCAACCACATATATCATGTCAGCAATGTTAAGTTAGGTATAGAGTACTAGGCAGGAAACGGAATTCAGTCTGGTTGTGAAACCCTTACCAGTGACTTGAACTTGTGTTTAGCATGTCGAACTACTGACTGTGTGGATGTGATGTTAGTCAGAGTAGGGCTGTGTTGAAGAAGTCTAACGGACGCTAGGCCAATATTCTACATTTCATACTGACTTGGTTTAAGTTGTGTATGAAGGTGTAGGCTACCTGGCTGTGATCCTTGAGGTGTGAGGAATCAGTGGTTGAAGACCCTAGATCACATAGTTGTAAATTGATCACAATGACTCAGTTGTGTACGGTTTGTCACTGGCCGTCTATTTATACTCCCATCCCTCATGACTTTTGTAGACTTTTTTGTTACTCGTTCTCTGCCTACTTATTCTTTGCCTTTTGTTGTGTATTATGCCCAATTTAATCGAAGCACTTCGATGCGTAGTTCTGCATTGATCTGTCTGTCCTTCCCACTTAAAATTGTTTATACAGCATCTTAAAATTTTTACATCAAATCTTTCCCATCTACTTAAGCGGTTTGAAGTTCACAGAAAAGTCACTCAGTCAGTTATCATCAACATGGGACCTAGAATTGCTGCATGAAGGTTCGAGTTGTCATATCTCATATCAGTGCATCAAGGTAAAGGACTCTAATATGAAAGCCAACGAAATGAGAAAGAAAGTAGCCAAAAGTACTAGACAGTCGAAAAAAGAGAAAAGGACGCAATGGAAAAGTGATTGAACTCCGTTAAACGATTTGGATGACGATAATGTGTAGACACATCTGTATCACTGAGACCGATTTCGAGCCATATCACCTAGTCTCCAATCACCAATATTGGTTGTCACACGAACTTAGACCGGGAAGTCTGCATTTCCCCCACACTACTCAGATCAACAGCCTGAGACTTCATGGACTGATGCCACTTGTAAGTCTGGCCACGTTTGGTCGTCTTGCCAAAATTCACGTCAGCTAACATTACGCAACAGAGAGGCTGGTTAACAAGCATGTATAGCAGATGTCTCGGTCACCTCAGTTGATGAAAGTTCACAACCTCGTCGACTGACTTCCCCCTTCTTCCCAAAGCTTTACACCTGACTTCTACGTTACTGATATGATGGCACCACAACCCGGGGTCTATGCCTCGAAGGTGGTGGTGGTGGTGGTCGAACACCTGAAGCCTTCTTATGTCTTTCAGTTTTAATGACCATGTTTAACGCACATATAATAGAACAAAGCGACCTGTAGCGCAGTACATTCGACCCCTAATCGACAATCGGATATCACAGCGGTGTCATAAATAACGTAAGTTGGCGAATGCCAAGAGAGCATATTGTATCCGTGCAGAGATTTCATCGATCACTGGTCCACCTTTGTCGATTCGATTTCCGAAGTGGTTAATGCTACTAACCACTTCACTGTCTATTGTTGGAGAAAGCACCAACAACGACCAGTCCTGGAGCAACATTTTTCACTTGGGTGTTGGGTGAGAAACATATTTCAAACATTCTCAAGTTGTCAATTAAGATGTTCATAGGACTGTCTTTTCAGCGTCTTCACCTTACAGAGATGTATCATCTGCACACTGTAGACCTACTAGGGATTCTCCTGTAACAAAATCAATGCCATACTGAGATGGAAATCTCAATAAGTATGTCCATGATGAAGTTAAATAAGGATAGAGTGTGGACGTCTTCGACAGACGCCACTTGACGTACGGAAAAATTGAAATCTACTTAGTAACCTTGTGCACATTCCTGTAGTAGGCAACGAGCCACACCTATTATGAGGGCTTATGATACTACTTCGGTAGATGGATCGGTGTTCAAACCCGTGACCCAGCGGTTGAAACTCACTGTGAAGAAGAATGAACCACAGTTGCATACTTGATGTATGCAACTTGCGTGTAACCTCGTCATAGGCTGTAACATACCACTTGTGTTGGAATGCAGAGCTTTTATTTAGATGAATTAATTTACGACCTTTCTATCGCCACAGTCGAATTCATCTTTTATTTCAATGAATGTGGCTTTTGTGGGATGCGAGTAAGCGTTTTTGTGTCCTCGAACATAGTGGAGTGTTAAAAATATGCCCAAAAGCTGGTCTGAAGCGTATCAGTTTTCCTGGTTTCACTATTCCTGAGTTTCACCTAGGTGTGATGATTGTAGGATCTTAGGCGCTGTTCGTCAAACTGATTCCTTCTGTGAAGACTGGAACAATCAGCGACTGAGATCAGTCAGGTGAGATCATATCTGATTTCCATACGCTAGCTAACACTTCAGTCAATCTTGAAGCAAAACTTGGGCACAGTGGTAGATTGTAATTCCATTTTTTTCCTTTTATTAGAATTGTCAAACATTGAAGCTGTATTATTCAGTGGATAACATTTTGGACGTAAGTTATTGTTTATATTCACATCAGGTGGTGTGAGTATGAACAACAAATTATGCCCAAAACATTGTCCAGTAAGCAGTACTGTTTTACTCTATGACTTCTAATGAACAGACTGAAATTGAATTCGATTAATCGAACTAGTAATACTCCACGAGTTTTTCTATACTACTGGTACTAATTGGTATGGGTGTCTTAATAACATCAGAACCAATTTCTGGGTGATGAACCAGGGAGCACCTCTCTCCAGCTTTTCCCATATCTGGCTAGCAAAGAAAACGTTCGTTAGATGAGATATTTCACTAACTCTATGGCAGTCGTTACAAACTGGGTTACAGCTTTCGCGTTTATTTCTTTTCGTGATCCATATGAAGGAGACTGATAAATAACGTACTAAAATAGATAACCAGTAGGAAGAAACCAACTCTTGTAATCTGCATGTATGGCTTGAAAAACTCGATTAAAAGCATTAAAGAGTATCCTGGAGGAGAAACAGAATTCAAACTTGGAAAATCTCTGCAATATAATTTGCTAGTGTCCGTCTTCAGTAATGATGCATTCAGGCCTACTTTCCTTCTGTTGAAGGGCCTCTGTTACTTCAGGATCTGACTAAATGATAGGCAACTTAGGGCTAGACAACGGCCAGTTGACCTATTCATCAAAGTGTTCCGCTCATCTTTACAGTTATCTCCACTGTAAGTAAATCACTAACCTATCCAACTCCGCTTTGGTTACACTGATCATTGACTTTCTTCCACCCCAGTTTCATTAGTGTTTAAATGACTATCTCCTACCTGTCACTGCTGTTTTTTCGTCTCTTTATCCCTCGTTGCCCGCTACTACTTACAGTCACTGCTTAGACTCTCTATTAGTCTGTACCTAGGTCGCTCCCACTCCTCATTGTGGACGTAGCCTATAGGAATGCGTTCATGTGCATCCACTGATTTGAATGTGACATGCAAAATTCTTTTACGCTTTCTGACTTTTTCCCGAGTGTTGGTTACGGTTTTCAACGCTGTTTTTAGCTCAAACTAAGGATTGGATTAGGCTTTTTCGAAGTGACTGAAGTTATCCTGTTCTGATAATTGTCTTACGATTTCCTCGTTAAAAACAGTACTCTCATCACCGAACTACGCTAGGAACATGCTTCCAGTCGTATTTCTTTCGACTCTCATTTGGACACAGACGTACGTGTGCTAAAACCAACGTGCGATCACTACCCAAGCACGTGCACCAGAGCAACCATCTCCCACCGAATTCTCTAACAAGTGATAGCGATATGGTCGATTCGTGACATTCATCCATTTGAGTTCGGTGGAAAATGTCTCGATTTATATTTAGGATTCATGTTGGCTAAAAATTGGTTGCTAATTGAGCGCAGTTGTTGGTGATCACCACTATCCGTGCATTCATTTAGGATTCCGAAAATACCACCTAATCGTCTTTCTGCTTGGCTTAGCTTAGCCAACTGTCCATTGAAATCGCCCATTATGATAATCGTATCTCCACATTTGGCTTTCAGTAAGAGGCTAACGCAGTTTTTGGTAAGACCCATGTTTCCTTTTATGCAAACTGCTGTCAATGTATAAACAGAGACTACAAAAAGGTAATAGATATTTTCACTACCAGTTTTACTGCACCATTCAGTTGAACAGCACACGTGTGATTGTCAACTGGAATTCAGCACCGTCTACCTTAGAAATTAGCACAATGCTAGCCATCGAATTTCTAACAACTCGGAGGTAAATTTCGAAGATTCACCGGATTGATCCGGTGACTTGTATCCTGTGTGGACAGCTCAGGATCACAGCGTACATCCATCATTCGAAATTTGAGGGTGTAACATTTCCTAGTGTTATGAACTTTACTACTCATAAGTAACTAATGCTTTTGCGTACAGTTTTCTACTTAACACTGACTGGCTACAGTTTTTCCTATTGTTATTTTATTGATTAAAGCTGTTAAATAGCATTTAGCCAGATTGAACTTGTTATGTTCACCTTTTGCCAACTGTAGCTTATACGTTGTTTTCTGTTGTATCACCTAGAATGAATATAGAAATTTATACATTCATTAATAAATATAGAACCCCATTTAACCACTGATTAACGAAACAATACAGCGAAAATAATTATCTTTTTGATAACTGTTCTGACTTTATGAAAACTCTCGGGTACTCTTATTCAGGTGGATCTGGTACAGTTTCGACAGACTCCTGTTGTTTGATTTGGCATTAGGTTCGGAAATTGAAAGTATGATTTTAGGAGATTAGGTATAGTAATCTGCTGGTTTAGATCATTAACAGCTTTCTCGGGGTGGAAAGTTGAAATGACTATTAGAGGCCTGATGCTAGCAAAGGTAAGTAAGGTAGGTTGTGGTCAGTTTGGTTTCATATGCTGCTTGAAGCGTGCAAGTTGTTTCTACAAAGTACCTAAAGGAGGAGAGAGATTAGTTTTGCGTAACCGTGCAATCCAAGAGATATTGCAACCGGTCACATCTAGTCTTTTTGTAAGATTTCGATTTGAGTTTGCTTTGAATCCAGCTAGAAAACTTATACAGTGCAGGGAGGAATGTGCTTTTGGAGCTGACATTTTCCTAACCTTTTTCGCACAGAAAAGGCGGTATCAGCATGAACTGCCAGTTATCTGCGGGGTTCATTTACCCCGACCATATCGTAAGCTATTAGAGAATGATCGCAACTTACCTTAGAACTATTGCCAAAGCGTTCCTAGTATGGTAAGACTTTAAGGAACAGGTAATCATCCCTATTAATCGTTGGGTCATTATTGATACAGAAGCTTGACCATCACGTCAAGGTATCGATCAGAAAGATGAAATGTACGTAGTAATTTGGCAGATGCTAACGTTTTTGGAGGTTCATGTTTTGCAGCATATTGATTTTTATTTATATCATTATTACTCAAATTCTTTTTATTTACTCAACTGATATAGTGTAGTAGAATAGCACTTCACATACTTATACCAGATTTTGTTTTTACAGTGTCTATGTCTTTCAGTTTGACTAATCTCTATGTTATTAATATCTATTTGTCATTTCTGTCATTCTGTTGTTCAATAATTCTTTCCCTTATTCAGAATTTTATTGGGCATGCTATTTGTTTGTTCCAAGATGATTCATACAAGGAAAACATGTCTGCTGCTGAGGTGATAAGTCGTATACAACTTTACAGTCAATCAGTTTGTCGATTCGGCAAATCTCCTTATCTTTATCCCCTTTACGGACTGGGTGAATTGCCTCAAGCTTTTGCTCGTCTTTGTGCCGTTTATGGTGGTACTTACATGCTGGATAAACCAATTGATGAACTAGTAATGGAAAAAGGAAAAGTTGTTGGAGTTAAATCGGGTAACGAAATTGCCCAGTGTGATATGGTTATTTGTGATCCAAGTTATGTGCCTAATATGGTAAAAAAAGTTGGTCAGGTAAGTCAAATATTCGTGTGAACACAAATTAAAATGTTTTAGTATATTTCAGTATGTAGATTGACAAATAATCAGTAATTTCAAGCTAATAATCTTTGAGTGTGGCAAAAAGGTATGCTCAGTAGTTAAGTTGTCTAACCCAATGATTTATAGCTCACATTTCTTCATTGTTCACATCATTAGAGTAGTATTTCTACAGTACTGTAAACACAGGTTATTATGGTATAATCCCACTCCATTGAATCCACTATTAGGAAGCAACTATAGTTGTACATGTATTGTATATTCATGGTTTCCTGTTGGTCGTTTTCTACGACTCAAAAAGTGCAGTCCACTTCACTATTGAGCCACTTATTGCTATAAGTAATTAATAGGAACTGTTCATCATTGAAGACCAAACAGAATGATGCTGTTGGGTGGACTGTCATCGAGTATTGTACTTTATGAATAGCTATCAGGGAACAAAGTGACAATTTTTCCACGCCTTTTACTTTTTGTTCAAAGTTAAAAGACAGAAAAAATGGGATTGCAAAAACGTATATGCGGTCTACAATCTCTGTTTGCAAACAAAGAAGCACTTGAAAAACTCAATGAAAAAAACATTGTATAACAATTTCAAACCTATTATGCCTAATTTGGTCTGCAATGTGGGTGGAGCTAAAACAATGTATGGGTTTTACAGCAAGCCCACGGGTCTGCTACCCAGTTGCATTTCATTTGCTGAGTGTTCTCACTTTGAATTATTTTTTTTACATAGTTTATATCAGGTAACTAAGAAATTAAATTGCTCAATCTGATGAGTACATACTTTAGTCCAAAATAATACTTCATGTGTCATTATTAGCTTGATTTTACGTTATACACTCCGGATTCAATTAAAGTTCATTCATGAATAAAGAAAGCTTATTCTCTATTGATTACCTTTAAGGTTGTACGTGCTATCTGCATCTTAGTACATCCGATCTCAGGTGTGCACAATTCTTTGTCAACTCAGATCATTATTCCTCAGAGTGAAGTTGGTCGTAAACATGGTAAGATTATTAGATGTGTACACATCCCACTAATTTTAACCATCTTTAGATATCTACATTTCTTGTGTCTCCCATCCACATAATACCTGTCCTGAAGGTTTCTTTTTGGCTCATGTTGCAACCATCGCCGAAACAGACGAACCAGAGAAAGAGCTTGGGCCTGGTTTGAAAGTTCTTGGAACAATTGAGCAAGTATTTTATTCCACACAGGATCTGTTTATGCCAATTGATGATGGGCGTGAATCTAAGGTTGGTTTGCTGCTGAAATTAAACATTCTCCTTATAATCTAATGGTGAATAATAATATATTTCGGATCATACAGATTCACGTTGGGTACTATTTGAAATTTGTTGCCAACCCTATTTTTCTCTCTTACTGCATTATCTGTAAGTTTGTCTTTCATTCAACCAATGTTTGATAGTTATACAAAATTTAGAAGTTCATGACTGTAGTCAGAAAGCAGTCTGGCTCTTCGTTGTCTTTGTTTCTTTCGTTGATTGTCCCATGTCTATATCGTACCTTACTTTCATTGTGATATGTAATGTACTGAACAACGACTTCCTAATATTCATCTAAGATCAACCGCCAGATCTGCCACAACTACTACATTCATCTATCAAGCTATAATTTCGACAGCTATATGAAGACGCCACATGCCAAGCGATTCACATTGAAAAGCAGCTCAGTGATGCCTTTGAAGTGAAGACAGGAGTAAGACAAGGTTGCGCCTACTATCACCCATGATCCTCCTGATTGTGGTCGACTGAACTGAACTAGACTAGATCATGCAACAAACTGTGAAGAGCGGAAAGATGGCGATACTCTGAACCGATGAAAGACCCTAGAAGATTTGGATTTCGCCGATGATGATTTATGTCTAATGTCTTCTCGCACAAACTCGAAGATCTACAGGCAAAAACCAACAAGTTGACAGAAGAGGCAGGGCAGTGTAGACGGGACTTCGTTCAGGTGAAGGTAGAGAGGACATAGGTGATGAAGATACCCAGCCACCACCACCAACAACAACAAGCACCAATCACCATCAACAGGAGAAACCTAAAGGAAGTAGTATCTTTCACCTACCTACCTACCTACCTACCTAGACACGCAGCATCGTTTCAACTACAGGCCGTGGCACAGTTCACGACGTCAAAGCCAGGATCGGAAAGACAGCAGGACACGCCTTCATTAATCAGATCTACTGCACTCAGCATAAATCGTGAACAACATTATTATTATCAATCAAGTAAGTCAATGATTCTATGTGATGATGGTTGAGAGACTTGGCGCGTTACGAAAAGCATTCCCAGTAAACTTCAGATATACATCACATTAACAGCTGCCACCTACGCTCACTCGATACTGAATATCAGATCAGATGGCTAGAATAGTAAGAATAAACAACGAGGAACTCTGGGAACGAACGAACCATGAACCTATCGCCCATCAAATATGCAGAAGAAAGTGGAGATGCATTGGATTGGGCAAAAACTGAGGGTATCGTTTGGGGACATCACGCGCCAGTCTGGGTTCTTTAGTGGAACCCGCATGGGAAACGACGAGTTGGGCGTCCCAGCTGAGGGTGACATATATGAGACCGTGTGAGTAAGAAATGAAAGCTTCTGTGCATTGATGGAGCCAGGTTGAAAAGACTGCAAAGAAGAGAGTGAAATGGCGGCGTGCACCTGAAGCCTTTTGTCCCACTAGGAACCCAGGGGATAAATAACGACAAATAATCAAGCTGTAGTGACACACTAGGGTCTGCTGTGAACTTCGTGAAACAATAACTGACACTCAAGTTGATCTTTCCAATTTATATGTAACATTTTCACTAAAATCTGGTTATTAAAGATCATATACTGTTCAATATTATTGAACCAGTAGATAAATAGGAGTTTCTGACCATTCAGTCTTAGATTCTGCACGAAAACTAACTTCCAGTTGTATAATTCTTATATCTCATCTGTTCAGTAAACTTTGGGATCAAAATTTGACCCAGTAGAGTTGAATAAGTTGGACGTTGGGTAAATGGACTGAAAATATATTTCATTTATAATCCTATTTTTTGTTTTTTACTCGATCAGCATACTTTTTCAACTATCATAACATTTGATTTATGGTCACTGACAGCCATCACTAGATTTAATGGTACCACTATATACTTGAAAAAACAAACGAGAAAGCTAGAAACAAAAGTTGGAGCAGAATATTGATAACGTTATAAAATCTGGTTGAAGATGCAAGGACACAATACAAGCACTTATCGATGAGCAAAAGTATAAAAAACAATTTTATTTAAACTTTAGCATGAAGTAAAATTATTGTGTTAATTAAAGGATAGTGGGGGCAACATGATTTATAAATATTGACATGAAAGTAGTTCAAAAAACCTTAGACCAGTTATAGCGAATTTCTTCATGTTGCATCAAGTTTGTTAAGATGAAATGTAATCTCTACCCCCGTTTTAAACCATCAACTATTAGTCTTAGTGGTATGGAGGGTGTTCAAGTCAACCAGCTGCCATTTTTCTCAGGTTGACAGAAATGTTTATTTAAAGAATTACGCATGTAGTTACATATCACTCACACTGGTTTCAGAATTCAGATTTTTAAATCTATGCCCTTAATTTTTTGCTGACTTTTGTTTTATGACTTTTTTCCGCGATTACTTTTCTTCAGTTGTGCTGTATATATTAAAGTTGTGGCAGTATGAGTCTGTTTGAAGTATGAAATGGATTCAATCGGTGGTTAATTACGGTTCATATTAAAATTAAGTGGTACGCTAGAAGACTATGTCTAGAATTTTATGCGTATTTCAGGTATTTTGTAAATGGAAACTATTTAAATTGGTATAAAACAGTAAAAATGTTAGTTGTGCATCTCCATGAGCTTTATAGCTTTTTTAAAAATTTTCCCACCAGTATCTGACTCCAACTACTAAGTTGAATGGTTTCATTTCCAAACTGGATTGTTTAGCCTACACTTTTGTAATGAAGTTGATGGTATTACTCTAACAGTTATCATAACCCTTATACAATGACCTTACATATTGACCTTATGTTTTTCAGGTCTTACGCTTTCAATAGAAAAATCATTGTATTTTTGAGATGAATGAGGATTTTTAATTTAGAAGTAGTATTCATCATGGACTGAAATCAGTTGGGGAACCATTGGAAATCTGGGAGCAACGGATAACCAGCTGTTTTGTCCTAGTATAGGACTCCTCAGCAGTGCGCACCCACGACCCGGCTAGGGATCGAACTCAAGGCCTTCAGGTTTCACGGCGAACGCGTTAACCATTCAGCCACTGGGTTGGTTTCCGGTGGTTCACAATTTCCAACTTCTGTCAATTCACGACATAGCGTGACTGTCACCCAGGTTAGCATCCACTTCACTTCCGACTGGTTGGCCCCACAGGTCGATCCCTAGCCGGGTCGTGGGTGCGTACTACTGAGGAGTCCCATACTAGGACGAGACAGCTTTCCAGTGCTCCCAGAAAAATTATTGTTTACTTTAGTTGTTTTGACCACATTACAACTAATTCATTGTTTGATATTATATCAACAACACTTCAAAATACCATATTGTTCATTATTTATTTAAAGTTGGTTTTCAATAACACAAAATTATAAGTTAGACAAGATTCAAAAATCTCAGTATTTAATATATGTATTGGTTTCCTTCACCAGTTCAGTTACAGCTTACATCTTGCTCAGTTAAGACTTTTATGGGTCTTTAGACACCACTTTAACCATTGAAACCATTGGTCCTAACTGTGATGACCTATTGAAAAATCTGTTCAATTTGATTGGAAGTTCTTTGTGCTATATTTTCATTTTTTTTTACTTTTGTTTTAAAACATTTATTTTAGGTCTTCATTTCATCAAGTTATGATGCATCTACGCATTTTGAATCGACGTGTGCAGATGTTTTAGATTTATATGAACGCATAACTGGACACCCGTTTGATTTTGATAAAGTAACTAGATATGAAGATGTTAGTGAGTGAATTTTAGCATCTTACCCAAGTTTGCAAGAACCTGATTCTTTCGAAAAACAAATGCAATAGTCTTGCAAGAGATATTAATTCCGTTTCGTTCATTTATTTACGAATAATAATTGTGTGACATTTGTACTGCCCTTACGACTACAGCTTCTAAAACGCACATGCTATTTTTTAATTTGTCTGCAAACGTACATATTGAACAATGTTATATACTACTCTCTTAATGTTCTACGTTTCGTTTGACAATTCTCTGCATCATCTATTTCATTTATGTAACCATGTTCAAACTCATTCCTGATTTTAATCTTTAGGTTGAAAGTATATTGTGATATGTTTTCGTTATTTTACTGATCACTTTTGTGTTTCTCATCTGTGATGAACATACATGTACCTCATCATTTTGGGAATTCGATTATTGCTTAGATATATTTAGTTGTGCAATAGTTTTGTTTCCAATTCCTATTCTTTTCAAAATATTTTTATAGTGGTACTGAAGAAAATGAAAAGACAGAGACGAGAGAAGGAATGTTTATTATTAACACATAGTACAGTAGTCGTTAAATATGTTATACCTTGCACTAAAACAGTCATTTGCATAATGTGATTCATTTGCTCTTCTGCTTCTCCCTTGATTTGTTCCTAATACGCCCGCGTTGTCGCTTGCCTTTCTCTGGTCAGATTCCTTACCATTGCTGGTGATTCCGTTGATTTCTGCCACCCTCTCCACATTATTATTATTTGTCCCTTGGGTTCCTAGTCGAACAAAAGGCTTCAGTTGCACGCTGCCATTTCACTCTCTGCAGTTATGTCCAATCCAATGCATCTCACTTTCTTCTGCATATTTGATGGGCGATAGGTTCATGGTTCGTTCGTTCCCAGAGTTCCTCGTTGTTTATTCTTACTATTCTAGCCATCTGATCTGATATTCAGTATCGAGTGAGCGTAGGTGGCAGCTGTTAATGTGATGTATATCTGAAGTTTACTGGGAATGCTTTTCGTAACGCGCCAAGTCTCTCAACCATCATCACATAGAATCATTGACTTACTTGATTGATAATAATAATGTTGTTCACGATTTATGCTGAGTGCAGTAGATCTGATTAATGAAGGCGTGTCCTGCTGTCTTTCCGATCCTGGCTTTGACGTCGTGAACTGTGCCACGGCCTGTAGTTGAAACGATGCTGCGTGTCTAGATAGGTAGGTAGGTAGGTAGGTGAAAGATACTACTTCCTTTAGGTTTCTCCTGTTGATGGTGATTGGTGCTTGTTGTTGGTGGTGGCTGGGTATCTTCATCACCTCTATCTTCTCTAGGTTCACTTTAAGTCCAGTCTTCCCTGCTGCTTTCCTGACCTTCAACATCTTTAAAGCTTTGCGCTCAGGACTTCAGCTTTTGTCGGAGAGTTTGTGTTAGCTAATAGTTCATGTGCTTCTAGTGATATTTCTGGAAGAGTTGCAGGTGGTAGTGGTCGATTCAAGAGTTTTTTGAGGTGATCAGCCCACCGTCTCCTTTGTTTCTCCACTTTGGTATCTCAGTTTCCTTCACTATCTTACACTGGTGTCATTCGTGTTGATGTTTTCCCTCCCAGATAGTAACCCCGTTATTTGATATAATGTCAGGTCTCTCTTACCAGTAACCTGTTCTGCTTCACTTACAAGTGTGTCGTAGAAGTGTCTTTTGTGTTTGCTCACACTCTCCTTCACTTCACTTTGTCTAGTATGGTTTTTTATAGGTTGTACTCAGTTCCTCTTTTTGTTGTTCATCCCTGCTCTGGTTTATCTTCTGCTTCACCGCGTTCCTATCCCTTCTCTATCATCTTCCATGTACCCATGGAGATTCATTCCTTGTCTTTTTCTTCTTCCTTCCTAATACGACTGTGCAGGTTTCTTTCCACATAGCTTTCAAAGACTTCCAGTGTTCTTCCACTCAGGTTTCTTCACAGATGTTGCTTTGTGTCTCCCATTTTTTCCTGATGACTGCCGTGAAGATCTCCTTTGTAGTTTCCAACTTCATTTCAGTTTGTGTTCTGGGTGTTCAACTTGAACTGTGATGTGATCTATCACCAACTTTTTCGACGGTTCTCAGCTTGATTTCGAAGGCAGATTCCTTGCACTAGATAGTGAGTGGTGTGAACCTACATCTGCTCCCCTTCTTCATCTGACCTTATGTCCAGTAGGTCACGTCTCCACTTTATTCATATTGAAATAAAGTCGATCTGGTTTTAGTGTGTCCTGGTGTCTGGTGGAATCAAATCCATGTCGGTCGCCTTGTGAATATCCTTGTGTTTGTACACACTGCCTGACTCCAATCACCAAATCGTTGAATGCACAGAATTCTGCAAACAGTTCTCGATTCCCATTCATTTCACCGAGTGCTTCTCGACCCATGGTTAGTTCTCTTCCTGTGTTAGCCGCTCACAGTTTGGCATTCATGTTGCCCATTATAATGGATTTTGATATCGTCAACTGAGGTCTTGTCCAGTGTTGATTGGAGTTGTCTGTAGAATTCCTCCTTCTTCTCTTCATCTGCATTATTTGTAGGCACGTAGCGTAGTATTGTATGATTGTGACTTTCCTTCCTTTCGAGTTAAATCTTGCTATCATGATCCTGATCCTGCAGGAGGAGATTGGTTCCCACTGCATGAGAGTGAGCCTTCGATGTTGTTGAAGATATCAAGATTGCCAGTCGAAAACTCAGTGTGCTCGTGGTTGTCGTCTGAGTGACAATGTCGGAGTAGATTATTGATTCTCCAGTTGACAGTTTGGAGAGTCCACTCCCATTCCATCTGCTTTCGCAAATTCCAAGCACTTCAATGTGATACCTTCCCATCTCGTTTGCAATCTGGGCTGCCTTGCTGGGTTCAAACGTGGTGCGAACATCCCATGTACCCATTCTTACTTTCGCTTTCATCGAGTGAAGATACATCGGTCATTTGGCTTCCTGAAGGCTTTCACCAACAGGCACACCGTGATCCGCGACAGCATTCCGGATCACCGCTGCGACCACTGTCTTCGCACGTTGGTCAGGAATCTTGACAGCGTCTTCCTATCGTGTATCATGCTCCGTCATCACCAACAGGTATTGGTTTCCACTAGATGTCTACGGAAGTGGTGTCATTAAGTCCACAGACCATAGGTCACCAACTGCTACTTCTGGAATCGACTGAAGCGGCGGTCATATGTACCCATCACCTTTCATCAGCTGACAGCATGGACAGCCCAGCACGCGTTTCGCGTCATCTCTCATATCTGGCCAGTTTGCACTTTATCTGAGAAGGTCGGCTGTCCGTGAGACACCTGTATGAGCTAACTGGGGGCATTTTTGTATCATTTTGTCACATAAACATTCCAAGATGACTGCCAACCAGCTCCCGTCGTTTTCTCACCAAGTCAGCATTCCATAAGTATTCACCCTTAGGCATCAACAACGTTCTCAACTCTTTATTTTCCACAGACTTGTCTGTTCTCGTCCCTTCAGTTATGGCTTTTATCATTTCTTTGAGTGTAGGATCCGACTTCTGAAGGCGGATAAGTCTTAATGGGTCCCGTTCTACTGCATGTACACCATATGTGGTCTCAGGTAGTTCATTTTCTTCGTCTGATCTTGATAAGAAGTCTGCCAACCAGTTTTCTTTCCCTGCCACATAGTCGATTGTGAAATCGTGCTCTTGTAGTCGTAGCATCTAACGTGGTAATTTTCCTCTGGGGCCTCTCGCTGTCTTTAGCCACTGTAGCTGTTTATGATGAGTTTCAATATGGAATCGTTGACTGCGGAGATACGATCTCCATTTGTCAGGCGCCCAAACTATCACCAGACATTCCTTTTCAACCGTGTAATATTTCTGTTCTGCAGGTGTCAGGACACAGTTGGCATACTCCACTACTCCTTGAGTCTGTCTCAGAACTGTTCCTACTCCATAACCACTCGCGTCGGTGGACACGTCTAGTGGCCTCATGGGTACTGGTAGTTTTAAAGTCATCTCCTGGTCATTTACGAGTTCCTTGATGTGACCAAACTTTTTCGGTGTCTCCTCTGTCCACTTAAATTTTGGGTTGCCAAGTAGCTTATATAAAGATGCTGCTATATCATTGAAATTTTTGAGCAACCGACTGTAGAATGCTACCCTACCCAAGAAGTGTCGCAATTTCCTCTTTGAGTTCGGCACTGGAATGGTTTTGACCGTCAGAATTTTCTCAGGTAGTGGTTTTATTTCACCGTTTCCAAGTTTATATCCTAGTAATGTCACACTCTTCTTAGCTACCTGAGATTTTGTCTTATTGATGCGAAGTCCAAACTCGTCATTGCGTCATAAAACAGCTTCCATGTGTTCTAGATGTTCTGCTTCCGTCCGACTGTACACCACCAGGTTGTCATCATACTACACATCTACGTTTTCTAAATTCTTCATCAACAACATTATCAACCGTCTAAATGTAAGTGGCGCGCCTGCAAGACCAAATGGCGTTCGCTTGGATCAGTGTTGCTTCTTGCCCACAATAACTACTGTTTTCCCTGTATCGCTTTCTTTTATTGGTAACTGCCAGTAGCCTGAGTGGAGGTTCAGAACTGTAAATACTTTTGCATTCTGCAAACGATCCAGTGTTTCAGTTGCCGTCAGCATGGCACATGGCTTCAGTTGCGCTATGATGTTTAACTCTCTGGAATCAACGCAGGATCTATATTTGCCAGTTTACTTTCTTACCAAAAGCACTGGCGAACTGTACGGGCTATCCGCCTCTCCAATAATACCTTCGTTTAGCATTTCCTGGACCTGGCGTCCAAATTCTTCCAAGTGACGTGGTATTCGTCGTGTTATAAATGTTGTCATTGCTCGACTCGTCACTGGGATTTCATGCTGAACCTTGTCACAGTATCCGTAGGGGTCTCCA